GTTTAATAATACTGAACTATCACATAGTCCTCAAAACCTGTATGTCAGATGTTCGCAACATCCACAGACAACGTTTGAGGTTCAGCACACCGAGCGGTGCATTAAGGACATAAGCCTTCTACGCAGTAATGAGGACAATCCCCACTTTACGGACCCAGTCCGCATAATTGCTACTATCAACTTTCAACTAAATTTTCTCTAGCAACATATCTAAAACAGTAGAACTAAAGTGCGAGCTATGACATAATTTGTAAAGACCATTTGACTATGTTCATGATAATTAAGTTCATCTAATCAAATTATTAATGAACTCCCACTCAGATAGACATCCCTCTAGTCATCTAAGTGATACATGATCCGAGTCAACTGGGCCGTGTCCGATCATCACGTGAGACAGACTAGCCATCATCGGTGAACATCTTCATGTTGATCGTATCTACTATACGAATCATGTTCGACCTTTCGGTCTCTTGTGTTCCGAGGCCATGTCTGTACAAGCTAGGCTCATCAAGTCAACCTAAGTGTTTTGGATGTGTAAATCTGGCTTACACCCGTTGTATGTGAACGTTAGAATCTATCACACCCGATCGTCACGTGGTGCTTCAAAACAACGCACTTTCACAATCGTGCACAGTTAGGGGGAACACTTTCTTGAAATTTTAGTGAGGGATCATCTTATTTATGCTACCGTCGTTCTAAACAAATAAGGTGTAAACATGACAAACATCACATGCAAATCATAAAGTGACATGATATGGCCAATATCATCTTGCGCCTTTGATCTCCATCTTTGAGGCGCGACATGATCACCTTCGTCACCGGCATGACACCATGATCTCCATCATCGTGTCTTCATGAAGTTGTCTCGCCAACTATTACTTCTAGTACTATGGCTAACGGCTAGCAATAAAGTAGAGTAATTACATGGCGTTTTTAATGACACACGGGTCATACAATAAATTAAGACAACTCCTATGGCTCCTGCCAGTTGTCATACTCATCTACATGCAAGTCGTGATTCCTATTACAAGAACATAATCAATCTCATACATCACATATCATTCATCACATTCTTTTGGCCATATCACATCACATAGCATACCCTGCAAAAACAAATTAGACGTCCTCTAATTGTTGTTGCATGTTTTACGTGGTTGCTACGGGTTTCTAGCAAGAACGTTTCTTACCTACGCAAAGCCACAACGGTGATATGCCAATTGCTTTTTACCCTTCATAAGGACCCTTTTCATCGAATCCGATCCGACTAAAGTGGGAGAGACTGGCACCCGCTAGCCACCTTATGCAACAAGTGCATGTCAGTCGGTGGAACCTGTCTCACGTAAGTGTACGTGTAAGGTCGGTCCGGTCCGCTTCATCCCACAATACCGTCGAAACAAGATAGGACTAGTAACGGTAAGCATATTGAACAAATCATCGCCCACAACTACTTTGTGTTCTACTGGTGCATAGAATCTACGCATAGACCTAGCTCATGATGCCACTGTTGGGGAACGTAGCACAAATTCAAAATTTTCTATGCAACACCAAGATCAATCTATGGTGATTCTAGCAACAAGAGAGGGAGAGGATGAGAATCTTCATACCTTTGAAGATCTCTAAGCGGAAGCGTTACAAGAACGCGGTTGATGGAGTCGTACTCGCGGCGATTCAAATCACGGAAGATCCGATCTAGCGCCGAACGGACGGCGCCTCCGCGTTCAACACACGTACATCCCTGGGACGTCTCCTCCTTCTTGATCCAGCAAGGGGAGAGGAGAAGTTGAGGGAGAACTCCGACAGCACGACGGCGTGGTGGTGGTGGAGCTCGTGGTTCTCCAGCAGTGCTTCGTCAAGCACTATGGAGGAGGAGGAAGGGTTGGAGGAGGGAGGGGCTGCGCCAAGAGATGGGGTGTGGCTGCCTCCCACCCCCTCACTATATATAAGGGGAAGGGGAGAGGGGGCCGGCCCCTCTAGATGGATCTAGAGGAGCGGCGGCGGCCAGGGGAAACCCTAGATTGGTTTGGGTGCCCCCACCCCCTAGGAAACTTGCCCCCCAAGCCGGGAGGGGCGGCTGCCCTAGGGGTGGCGCCCCCACCTCTCCAGGTTACGTGAGATGGGGTGGGAGGGGCGCTCAGCCCCTTAGTGGGCTGATGTGCCCCCTCCCCTTGGCCCATAAGGCACCCCCAACACTTGGCGGGGCCTCCGAAACCCCTTTCGAACATGCTGGTCATCACCTGGTACCCCCGGAATAATTCTGGACTGCAATACCGTTCGTCCAATATACCGATCTTCAGCTCCGAACCATTCCGAAGCTCCTCATCATGTCCGGGATCTCATCCGGGACTCCGGACAACCTTCGGTAACCACATACTATTTCCCATAACAACTCTAGCGTCACCGAACCTTAAGTGTGTAGACCCTACGGGTTCGGGAACCATGCAGACATGACTGAGACGTTCTCCGGTCAATAACCAACAATGGGATTTGGATACCCATGTTGGCTCCGACATGTTCCACGATGATCTCGGATGAACCATGATGTCAGGGATTCAATCAATCCCGTATACAATTCCCTTTGTCCACATGTATGTTACTTGCCCGAGATTCGATCGTCAATATCCCAGTACCTCGTTCAATCTCGTTACGGCAAGTCACTTTACTCGTTCCGTAATGCATGATCCCGTGACTAACTACTTAGTCACATTGAGCTCATTATGATGATGCATCACCGAGTGGTCCCAAAGATACCTCTCCATCATACGGAGTGACAAATCCCAGTCTCGATTCGTGCCAACCCAACAGACACTTTCGGAAATACCTGTAGTGCACCTTTATAGCCACCCAGTTTTGTTGTGACGTTTAGTACACCCAAAGCATTCCTACGGTATCCGGGAGTTGCACAATCTCATGGTCTAAGGAAATTATACTTGACATTAGAAAAGCTCTTAGCAAACGAACTACACGATCTTGTGCTATGCTTAGGATTGGGTCTTGTCCATCACATCATTCTCCTAATGATGTGATCCCGTTATCAATGGCATCCAATGTCCATGGTCAGGAAACCATAACCATCTATTGATCAACGAGCTAGTCAACTAGAGGCTCACTAGGGACATGTTGTGGTCTATGTATTCACACATGTATTACGGTTTCAGTTAATACAATTATAGCATGAACAATAGAAAATTATCATGAACAAGGAAATACAATAATAATCATTTTATTATTGCCTCTAGGGCATATTTCCAACAATATGTTTCTCATTTTTGGAGGTGACAAAGAGCTCGTGGTAAATGGTTACGTCGATGCTAGCTTTGACACAGATCCGGATGTCTCTAAGTCACAAACCGGATACGTATTTATATTGAATGGTGGAGCTATCAGTTGGTGCAGTTCCAAGCAGAGCATCGTGGCAGGATCTACGTGTGAAGCGGAGTATATAGCTACTTCAGAAGCAGCAAATGAAGGAGTCTGGATGAAGGAGTTCATATCAGATCTGGGTGTAATACCTAGTGCATCGGGTCCAATGAAAATCTTTTGTGACAACACTGGAGCAATTGACTTGGCGAAGAAATCTAGGTTTCACAAGAGAACCAAGCACATCAAGAGACACTTCAACTCCATTCGTGAACAAGTTAAGGATGGAGACATAGAAATTTGCAAGATACATATGAATCTGAATGTGGCAGACCCGTTGACTAAGCCCCTTCCGCGAGCAAAACATGATCAGCACCAAGACTCCATGGGTGTTAGATTCATTACTATGTAATCTAGATTATTGACTCTAGTGCAAGTGGGAGACTGAAGGAAATATGCCCTAGAGGCAATAATAAAGTTGTTATTTTATATTTCCTTATTCATGATAAAGATTATTATTCATGCTTGAATTGTATTAATTGGGAACCTTAATACATGTGTGAATACATAAACAAACATAGTGTCCCTAGTAAGCCTCTACTAGACTAGCTCGTTGATCAAAGATGGTTAAGGTTGAAGGAAATATGCCCTAAAGGCAATAATAAAGTGTTATTTTATATTTTCTTATTGCATGATAAATGTTTATTATTCATGCTAGAATTGTATTAACCGGAAACTTGATACATGTGTGGATACATAGACAAAATACCGTGTTCCTAGTAAGCCTCTACTAGACTAGCTCGTTGATCAAAGATGGTTAAGCCATGCCGGAATTGCACCACCACCATCTCCATCATGCCGTCGTGCTGGTTGAGATCCCATATACTTCTCCTCTCTTGCTTGCTGAATCAAGAAGAAGAAGACGTCATCGAGACTCACGTGTGCTGAACGCGGAGGTGCCGTTCGTTTGCACTAGATCGGATTGGATCATAATTGGATCGCGAAGAGTACGACTACTTCAACCGCGTTATATGTGCTTCCGCTTTCGGTCTACAAGGGTATGTAGACACACTCCCCTCTCGTTGCTATACATATCCTAGATTCGACCTTTGGTGTTTCGTTGGAAATTTTTTGATTTTCATGCTTTGTTCCCCATCACAGATAATGTATGTCCTCGGTGCCTTGGTCACAAAGCACACATCATGGTGGATGAGCCAAGCCTCGTCGAGCCAACCTCTCGTTCGTCCAGCACCGGTCCTGCTTGGCGAGCCAGAGGAATAGCTTGGCGTCGGTGCGAGCCCAACCCTTCCAAGTCAGCCTCCAGTCCATGTCCTCAATGGAGCCTTGGAAGAGAGCTCTGTAGCATGACGTGGCGGAGTAAGAGCTACTGTTGGTCCATCGCCAGCATGTACAACATAATTATGAAGATCAGTCAGAAAGAAAGAAAAAAGAATTAAAATCATGTTCCATTATATTTAGTGACCATCATGCTAAATCTTTGATCAATAATCAAGCAATATATTACATCGGCCATATCGAATATCTAGAAAAATATTCTTACAGTTGCAGACCGGAACTCCGAGTAGCTACTTAAGAGTTTTGGCCAAGGACTTGAAGGATGTGAGATTCACTATTTGACAAAATCACAACCTAAACTCCGAAAGAAATTCAATGGTGATGTTAGCAGAAGGATGATGTGGCCAAAATGATCTCATCAACTGCGACCTCACAGCTGCTTTGTCATTGTAGTCGCCGTTATCGTCGTCACCATGACCTCCAAAACAATCAGCCACCACTAAACGAATCTCACGAAGAGTGCCAGATGGCAAGTTCTCAATGCCAACCGGTACGAATTCGGCAGAAATGTGGTAACGGCATCGCATCAAAAGCGTCTCTAGCTTGGGCAGAGCCCCCACTTGGAAGACCAGCGACAGATATGGACATTCCAAATTCATGTGCTTGAGTGCTCTGAATTCCCTGCCGGAGATGATTACCCTTTCTTCCCTTTTGTCAACCGAACGTATATATAGTCTTAGGTAGGCAAGGGAAGGCAACCCTGCAACAATACTGACACCATCAGCAGCCTCCCTGACGGAAAGAGTTAAACTGTCAAGCTCGTGGAGCTGAGCAATCCATTGGGGGATTTTTTGGAATTCACATCTATACAGATCAAGCTTATGAAGACGACGAGGTGGGGTTAGTGTGCTGCTCCAGCCATCGACCCATAGGTCTTGAAGGCATTTGGACCCAATACTAAGGCTCCTGAGACTGCAAGAAAGCTTTCCAATGGAAGAGCACAAGGCATCAACACGCATGTTGACCGCTCCCTTAACAAATTTCCAAGCCATCTCAAGTTCCCTTAAGTTTGTCAGCTCACCAAGGCCCTTGATATTTTCTACCGAGCTTTGAATGAAATCAACACCTCGCAAGGTGTGAAGAGATTTCAACCTTCCGATTTCGTCAGGCAACAACACATGATTTGAATAACTGAGATGTGACAACCGAGGCAAAGTAACAATATCTGATGGAAGAAATGTTCGCCCTTTAATTTCTATTGTCTCCAATTGCTGCAACTCCCCAATTTTACTAGGTATGATCAAATCTTTCCTGACACAAATCTTCAGATATCTTAGTAGAAACAACCAACGAATATCGGTGAGATCTAGTCTCTCACATCTCCAATCTATAATGTAAAGAACTCGGATAAACTTCAGCACCAGAAAAGAATGCACAAGAGACCCTCTTAAAAGTAAGACTGACCGGACATGTGATAGTGACCCATTGATTGCTGCCAGTATTCCGCCATCGTCTTCACCATTGTACTGAATGGAGACTCGACGGACCCTTCTTTGTTCTCCTGTCACAACTTCTGGCCCATCAATAACAAGATTAAAATTCTCTTCAGCAGCCTTGGATCTAATGAGATCAAGCATTATATCATGTACTCTGCAAGACAACACCTCATCATTGTAGTCTATCTCCACGGGTTGGATCATGCTCATGTTGATGAGCTTATAGAAGTAGTCTTCTGCGACATCCTCTGCATCACGCAGACGAGTTTTACTCACAAAGCCTTGAGCTGTCCACTGCCTCAACAAATCCTCTTTTTTTATCTCGCTATCCTCTAGATACTTACCAATATCAAGCAGGCATGTCTTAAGATGGTAAGATAGATGCGTGTAGCTAAGATCCAATACTTGCTCCATATTTTTAAGATCATCATGATTTCCATCAAACACGGACACCAAAGAATTCCTTACAGAATCCCATCTTGACCTTGGGTTATGAACCAGAAGGCTTGCTATACTGATAATAGCAAGTGGCAAGCCACCACATTTTTTCAGAATATCACTTGAAATATCATCTGGTACATAAGGATGAGCTTCTTTGGAACCAAATATTCTACTAACAAGTAGTTTTCTTGAGTCTTGGGGACTTAGTGGTTCCATCTCATGAACATATCCTTTGCTATGTCTGCAACAGTCATGTGCAACATTGTGAATCCTGGTAGTTGTTACCACAATACTGCCACAATCGTCTTTTGTAAAAGCACATTTAATAACATTCCACGTCGGGGAATCCCATATATCATCGATTACTATGAAGTACCTGCAAATAAAGTCACATATATAAAATAAAAACAGAGCCATAACGTAGTATGTTCAAACCTACAAAATGGTGTCACCCACGGGTATCCATGCCACATTGCTCACAGTCACCCGGTCAAGCACGCAGCCATTCCAACCCTAATACCTCCCACACACGCAAGCAGCCAGTCCTACCGGCCTCCCGGCATGTACACACAGAATGAGGGCGCCGTGCTGGTGGCGGCCAGCTGGACTCATCATGGCGCGTCAGTGGCAAGTACTTCCTCCGTAAAGAAATATAAGAGCGTTTAGATCACTCTTATATATCTTTTCAGAGGTAGCACATTAATCCGTGTGGGCTTGAGCTTGCACATGCGAGACAACTACATGCCAAGATGGGAAGAGTGGGGTTCCACCAATCTCTGTGGTGCATATTAGACATGAGTAGTGAGCACCGCCGCCATGGGATCCATTTTGCCAACAAGGGCGATGGGAGGAGAGAGATGGGGGTTGCAACAGCGGCTAGTCATTTGGCCCATAGCACCACCCCATGGGAGGCTTCGCAAGGGATACGTGGGTACAAGGACAAGTGCTTCACTAGTTTATTGATGAAGACAAATACTAATTATTGGTGAGGACAAGTCACTTGCCTATTGGTGAAGACAAATACTTCACTTAGGGTATCTCCAACAGCAATCCGCAAATTTCTTCCCGCATGTGTCCACGCACAGAGGAGGCCAGTCCACGGACATGGATGTCGGAGGCTATCATCCAACCGTAGCCACATACATTTTAAACACTTTTTCAACAAGCCGGATGAAACTCATGCAAACACGGTCAGGTTTCATATAAACACGATGGATTTCATATAAACCAGACGAAAACGTTTACATTTTGGACATATTCTAAGTAAAAAGGTAAAACTATATGCACATACGGTCGCGTGGACCTCCACTACCACGACACGGATACATTACACTAGTCTACGGCTGCCCGCAGTGGACCCCTTTGTCTTCCCCATGTCCAGCAGCCCGCTCACCGGACTGTCGAGAGCCCCGGAGGTATAGCTTCAGCTCAGACGGTGGCTCGCTTCCCCACAGCTCATTAGAGTGGAACCGACGGCTGATGCTTCAGCCGAAGGAGAAGGGGGGTGCCTCCCCTTCCGTGGAGCCAGGTATGGGTCAACGATGGTCTGCGCTGAATAACCGGGCAAGTCACTGGCCATGCAAGCTGGCGACACGCCGACAGCGGCCTTCCTATGACCGAAGTGACAGCGGTGTCCCGTGTTCTACTTTTTCTCTATGTTGACGGCAAACGCGGATGCGCTGGCCACCGACTCGTCGATCTCCACACATGTGACTTCTTTCTCTACCAGCAGGGCGCGGTTACGCGACACGGCGTCGTCGATGGCAACGGCGATGCCCATGTCGCCGTGCCGACCTGGAGCAACTCGCCACTCCTCTGCGAGCTGTCTAGGAGCGGCGAGATGTTGAACCATGCACCGGCTTGGGGCTTGGGTGGCAACTTGCTCTATCGGGATAGGAGAGAGAGGAGGAGGATCGAGCTGCCTCGCTCGTATCCTGTTGGCTCGGTTAGCCACCCTGCCCACTTTTTATGCTGAAGAACTGCTCTTGTCCGTCGGATGCCATCGAAATGGTGGAGAAAATGATGGAAGGAGGAGATGGGGAGCGGCGAAGTGGTGTGGTTCTTGCTCGGTGTCTATCCTCGTTTAAATAGAGTGCAAATGGGAGGAGCTTGCCTGGTGTTGCTTTTAATGCCGACCCGGTCGTCAACAGATGTGTGGCCGGAGTAGGTTTCTCAGAGGCTTTCAAATGCGGCGAGGAGGCGTGTTTAGGCCGGTCATGCAGCGGTCTGCGAGCCACTTCAATGGCGGAGGCACTGAGAGGTTGCGTCCGTCCTAAGCCGTCTTTAATGTGGAGCTGGCACCTGGCGGGAAGCACCCGCGGGAGGGAGGAGG